CGTCTGCCGTCCCCTCGCCCGAGGAGGACCGGACGACGACCACTGACGACGAGGACCAGCAGCTGGCCCCCCAGATAGGAGGGGGTGACACTTCCTCTGGGGGGTGGCGGGGGGTGACACTTCCTCTAGGGGGGTGGCAAGGGGTTCCACATCGAGCACCTCATCGGCACCGTACTTGCGCGGGTCCTCACAGCTCCCGACGCGGCCGATCTCGTTTCAGAGGAGGCTGGTGATTCGTCCTAAGGGCGACAAGTAAGTATCCGTTCATTTTGCATCTCTTCTTGTTCATATGCTGAAAACCGAACTACGGACTAACAATTCTTCTTACTGACTCCTGTAGGAACTAGGAACTTGTGTCCGGGGGCGATCATCGGCAGTGCAATGGGATCCTCGGCGGCTGATCCCACTTTGCACTACTCAGTTTGGTCACCCACGCCTGAGGTTGAGTCGCCTCCACGGGACGTGGGACCACTTCAACTCCGCCGTGGACGCCGTGTACGGCACCATACAGGAGCGGATCAGGCGTGAGTTCTGGGTGAGTCTATATCACACTACATTGCTCAATACTATGGAATCATTAGACGTTCTTGAAATAATGAAAGGACACATGATGTCTGTATGCAGGACTTCTTCACATTGGAGGAGGGGCATGACCCCGCCTGGGTGACGAAGGTGCAGGACAGGGCATGCAGGGGCCGAGTCACGGACCTGTACTACGAGGCGAGGCTGCAGTGCCACATCAACCACTCGTGAGACGTCCTTGGTCGGTGCCCGGGGAAGAGCGAGACCAGGACCATGACACTCACTAGGGAGCAGTACCTCGAAGTAAGTTATAAAACATTGTTACTGACTCATTCCATGAAGAATAGGTAGCCTTCATTTTATATTCTAACATTTCTAATACAATACTTGATGGCATGCAGATGTGTCCTTCTTGGTGCGCCAGGCACAGAGACTGTTGGGCGGCCATCGTGGACAAGTGGGTCTCCGATGAGTGGAGGGAGAGGCACGCCCTCCGTCGGGAGTGCCGCCTGCAGATGGGTGGGCCGACGCACCACCAAGGCAACCGGCCCCTCAGTTCGTACGCCCAGGCCTGGGTACACGCTACGCACTTATTTATTTATTTGTTCTAACGCTCAATTCTCATTACTTCTAATCGTCTTTGTGTTTTCCTCGCAGTCCTAGTCGCATGATGGCCAGGAATGCAACGAGTTCATGGCGTACGCCATGGCACACAAGGGCAAGGCGACAGCCCTAGACACCGTCTACAACCCGGAGGATGGGCCCAAGGCGTACAGCAACATGAGCGTCCACAGCAAGCTCACCGACTACGCCTCGGCGGCCCGCGAGCGGCATGGGGAGGACTTCGACCCCGCCACCCAGCCCCTTGATACCGACCTCGTGATGAGGCTCGGAGGAGGGAAGTAGCACGGCCGGTACTGGATGGCCTCCAACATGGTTGACTCAACCTCTGTGCCCAACCTCGCCCAGATCCGAGCACATAGCACGAGCACACTGCAGCAGATGGCGGCACTCCAGGTTAGTTCTATTTCATTCGTCGTTCATTACTTTTACACATGTACCTTGCATTTGCATTGTTTAAACATTGGTGATTGAATATTGCAGGCCACTGTGGAGAGGATGGAGGCCGAGAGGGAGGCCGAGAGGGTCGAGAGGGAGAGGGAGAGGGCCCAGAGGGAGGCCGAGAGGGCCGAGTGGGAGGTCCTGAGGGCCTAGAGGGCGGCCGAGGCGCAGAGGATGCAGGACATGTTCTCATTCATGTCGAGCCTCGGCACCACTCTCTCGGATGTGGTGGTGCCCCAGTCGCTGCTCGCTCCAGTTGTGCCTCCTACTCCTCCGATTCTAGGCACTCCGGCGAGTATATATATATATGGTTGATCAAGTCCTTTAGCTTATGTAGATACTAATGAATTCAATTCTCCTTTGTGCAATAGTCGTCGGGTTCGAACCCGACTCCTTCGCCTCAGCACACACACCCCGGCTGGACAGGTCCACCACCGCACGGAGGTGCCCCTTCAGGCTCCCATTGGGATCAGTGGCAGTAGGTGGTGCCCCTTCATGTTTCATTGACTTTTCTTGATTTAGGACTTATGTTGGATGAAGACTTCTTAGATGTTGTCATGGATTTGCACATTGGATGTGCGTGTGATGGATTATGCAGGAGGATGTGCTTGTGATGGATGTTGAATGTGCTTGTGATGTATTATGGATTATGTATGTGTTTTGTGTGATGCTAAATGCACTGTGTCTTTGTCTCATGTATTATATATGAGTTTTTGCGTGTTTGCTTTTGAAGGAAAGCAACAAACAAAAAAATTACAAATTTTTCAGCTTTTGAAAGTGCCAACACACTTAAGCAAAGAAGTCTTTGCCGAGTGTCAGGGGTGTGGCACTCGGCAAAGCTGGGAAAAATGCCGCAAAAACAGCCACTTCCCCAGTTTTGTCGAGTGCCACAGCCTGGCACTCGGCAAAGAGGTCAATTTTGCCGAGTGTCACAGCCTGGCACGCGGCAAAGAGGCACATTTTGCCGAGTGCCACAGCCTGGCACTCGGCAAAGAGGTCAATTTTGCCGAGTGCTAGATGGTACCACTCGGCAAAGACTATTTTTAAAAAGATTTTTAAAAAAAATTATTTCTTTGCCGAGTGCTCAGCCCTGGCTCTCGGCAAACATTCAAATTTTGCCGAGTGCCAGTCCCTAGGCACTCGGCAAAGCCGGCGTTAAATGTTGACGACAGTTATTTTTTTGCCGAGTGCGGGCTTGCCACTCGGCAAAGACTTTGCCGAGTGTCGATTTTTGGCACTCGACAAAGAAATTTTTGCCGACAAAGTCTTTGCCGAGAGGCCTTTGCCGAGTGCGGCACTCGGCAAAGCCTTTGCCGAGTGCTTTCCTGGCTTTGCCGAGTGCCCCCAGCACTCGGCAAAGAGGGCGTCTGCAGTTGTGTGCACCCCATCAGACCTGAGACCAAAATCGCAAAACCCGAATCACCTACTCTGACCTTCTAGCTTCAACTAATAATTCAACAAAGGAACAAAAAAAAATTGGTGATGCGAGGTCGCCACTGACTGGAAGTAGGTGTCGAGGTTGTCGTTGCCGGCCTTGCAGGAACTGACGCTCCACGCGGCCGTCTTCGCCATCTCCCGCATGTCCGCGTCCACAGTCAGCTCCGGGCTCCCCTTCAGCCTCCCAGTGCCTGGTGCCCTCGCCACCGCCGGGGTCGCCGCCGCCTCCTCCTCGGCATCAGATTCCATCGGACTAGTGCGAGGGGAAGAGTTGGGGGAAATTTTGGACGCCTTGATGAGCAGTTGCGCGGGCAAGGAAAGCGGCCCAGAAGCAGGAGATAAGGGAGAGAGAGATACGGGGAGGGGGCGGCGGCGGATATATTAGTTATTTTTGCCGAGTGCCAGACAATTACACTCAGCAAACATATTTCTTTGCCGAGTGTTTTTTTTTCTAGTTTGCCAAGTGTCAAACTTTACCGAGTGTTTTTTTGCCTAGTTTGCTGAGTGCAATTATTGTACCGAGTGTTTTTTTGCAGCACTCGGCAAAGAGCTTGTTTACCGAGTGCCCGATGGATTGCACTCGGCAAACCATATTGCACTCGGCTTACCTTCTGTTTCCGGTAGTGACAGAGTCGGCTACAAAGTCTCCTTGTCTCCAAAAACATCTAGCAATTTTTAGAGACGGTCAGCTTCTTTACGGAGACACTCAGGAAATAACTGTCTTAAAAAATGCATGTAACTCAATTCAGTATCAGAATTTAGGTCGAGTGCAAATAATCAGACCTAGCATTACATGCATATAACCGAATATAAAGAAACTGTTGTCCCATTGCATTGGACGTCTACGACCGAGCATGTTTACGGAATGTTTTGTTTCTTAAATTTTGGGCGGTCCAACAACGTGGATGGTGGTGTTGCTTTGGTCATGTTCGCTTGTCTTATAATCCGTACTTTTTAGCTTATTTTTCAGCAGAAATAATGTTTTTTTTCTGACAACAAATCAGCTGGAACAGTGTTTCTCCTTGTTTTTTCAGCGAAGCGTCCGAATAGAATCCTGCGTCTGATAACCGCCGAAATCAACAACCTGACGTAAGTCTCCATCTTCAGCTGGTCTTCAGGCTTGTCACCAAAGTTCAGAAATGCTTGCCAACACGACATGCAACCTGCTAGGCTTACGTTACCGATCCCCCCCTCCATCTTCAGCTGGTCTTCAGGCTTGTCACCGAAGTTCAGAAATGCTTGCCAACAATCGTGTCAACCTGTTGCTGTCGCAGTCGGATAGGAAAATTGTCGTGAAATTCCTCAGCGTTTCGCAACAAAAAGTTAGCGCGCCATGACGATCCTTGTCATTCCAGCTAAGCCCTTGTTTAGATTGTAAATTTTTGTAACCTGGACACTGTAGCACGTTTCATTTGTATTTGACAAACTTTGTCCGATCATAGACTAACTAGGCTCAAAAAATTCATCTCGTGATTTACAACTAAACTGTGTAGTTAGTTATTTATTTTACCTACATTTAATACTCTATGCATGCGTTCAAAAATTAATATGATAGAGAAAGAGTAAAAAAACTTAAAATTTAGAGGTGATCTAAACAAGGCCTAACTGACCAACTCGAGGGGACTCGCCTGTCGCCACAGCTTGCTCTCTAAGGTACTCCGTAGAAAATATGATTATATATATATATATAAAAAAACTGGGCCCAACGTACACGTACTGAAATGACTGTTCATTCGTTCGATATCTTGCTCCCTACGGTACGGTCCCTTCTGCTCGAAGACACAGGGACTCCTTGGCGTCCGAATCATAAGTTGTTTTGACGGGAAAAAAAATTAAAGCAACTTATAATTTAAAACGGAGAGTAATATACTATACAGTATACCACATATATATCTTCCTAGCTAAATCGACGGCGCCATGTCATTGCTTGCAGAAACACAACGCAGTAACACACATACGCAAACAGCTAGGATCATATCATGGCGTCATGGTGGCCAACATTCCTGGGATTCCTCCTGCTAACATGCAACTCGGCCATCGCAATCCACAGGTCAGGCGGGCACGCCGCCACGATACTCTTCGTCGGCGCGACGTACGCCACCCTCGTCGTCCTCTTCTGTAGCCTGCGCCGGTTCGAGACGGCGCCGCCAGGCTCGGCGGCCAGGGACCGCGCCAGAGCCGGCGTCTGGCTCACCACCACGCTGCTGACGGCCATGTTCTCATGGAGGGTCTCCGCGCTGATGCCGCCGCCCCTCGCCGCTGCCGTGTGGCTGACGGGGTGTTCCACGGTGATGGGGGGCTTCTATGTCTTGTTCCTTCGTCCCAGGCCGAACACTGCTGACGATTGATATAAAAACAGGTTATCCAAATTGCATGTGCGTATATATGTTTGTAGGGGTATGCTTGTGTGTGTGCGAGTGTGATTGTGTATTTATGCAGTTGCGTAGGTACTTCAAGTGTGTATGTTATTAATACCAGTATATATGAAAGATGAAATAGAGAGATCAGTGTGGAACGATTCAGATTTGTGCAGGCGTGCGCAACACAGGCAGGGGGCGCGGGGGCGGGGGCGGGGGCGGGGGCGAGGTCGAGGTCGAGGTCGAAGACGTTGACGGGGCTGAGGACGGGGATGAGGACGGCGGGGTCGTGCGTTCCTGAAAAGCGAGACCGATCGCACCTTATCGTTGTCCAATCTCATTAGGAAAGGCGGTGACGCGAGATGAGACAATTCATTTCCGATCAGCAACAAACGATTCGAGTAACCACCAATCCAATGCATCTACGTGAATTTGCCTAGGGCATAAACCTGAAAATGTCCTTTCGCGGCAGAATTGAGGAAAATATAAGGAAAGATGAAAAGAGGAGATATATATGGCGTACAAAATAAGAGATCCAGGTACTATATGATAAATTTGCGAGCCAATTTTTTTTAGAATGGTTGACAAAAGCTTTGCCAAAATATATTAGTAAGGAGTAAGAAAAAAATATACACACAAATTACAAGCCTTGAGCGAAGGAAAAAAATGAAGAAAACTGAAGAGGCACTAACCAAAAACCACAGGAGAAGAAGAAAAAAACCCAAAACACTGAAAACAATCACAAAGGAAGACTGCTAAAGGCCTGAGCTTTGGGTGACATAAAGCGTAGGCATAAAGACTAAAACACAGCTACATGATTCGCTTCATAATCCATCTTGGTCATTTGGGAATTGTGTGAAATCTAGTGCTGAGCATGGCAAAATTAATCAGTCATTTTTTCCTAGTACAAACAGTTGCAGTGCGAATGTGTCACCAAAGGTCACAGCTCAAAGCTGGGGACGTAGCCAGCCTGAATGACGTCGGATCAGCTTTGTTAAAATGACGCCTTCCTGCTAATGATGTGAGGAACTGAGGACCTTGTCCAAGCAATGGTTAGCAAAGCACATGCTTGCACGAGATAATTGCATATGCATCTCTGGTTGAATTGTCTATGATCAGAAAACACGTACGTGATCGAGGAATTCTCTACTAGTACCCTATGTTCTAAAATAGCTAACGTTTTAGTTATAAATCTGAACAAAGATAAATACTCCAAATAATCAGACTTAACTAAGGAAGCACCGGAGATTTAGCATTGTTGGCTATGCAATCCTACATGCGTGTTATGTACGAAACAATCCATTTTTAAATGTTTTTGAATTATGAGGATCGAAAGATATTGAGTAAATTAAACAAGGAAATAACATTATATTCTCATTAAAATATTCCAAGGATACCTCCCTTTCTACGTTTTTACCTCCATAATAAATTTAATGTTGGCTACAGAAAATCTGAGTAAATAAGATAAGTCGTTGCCTACAACGAGCAAGCTCAGGTTGTAAGGACTTGGCTCATTTAGCTCGCGAGCCAACGCATTTGTTCACGAGTGAGCCGTCAATAGATTCAACTAAGGAATGAATCATTTTCAGTAACTAATTAGTTCAATACAAACAAGCAAAAATAAAAAAAAATCCACATCATAACATAGCAATAGCATACTCAGTTTTAGACTTCAATCACATGCATATAACATAACATTGGATCTAATTGGTTCAGGTTGTTGGACTATTAATTTTGAGCTCATTTAGCTTTCAAGCTAGCTTGAGAGCCAGCTCATTGCTCTCTTTGGTGGAGCTTTTACTAGATTTTTTTCTCAAAAAACACAGGAGAGCTGCGCATCATTATATTAAAAAGTAAAAATAGGAAAGAACCCATACAACACACCCCAGGCCACTTCAACTCACGCCAAACTTCACCAAACTCTCTGATCCTTAGGATACAAGCGCACCCATGTCTAAATCAAAGGACAACCAATACCAGCACTAGGAACCTAACTTTCTGAATCGGGGGCAGTCAAGAGGGAAATTCCTCGAGCCCCAGCCATCGACCAAACTTTTACTAGAAATTCACTATCAGCTTAATCAAAAGCCTTGTTAAACATACACACACACACACGAGAACGGCTTACGAAGACTAAGCTAAAAACGGTGAAGCCGAAATTGCTTTAATCAGAAACCGAGTCATCAAAACATGACTTTCAATGGTTTCACCATTTTTTAAGAAACCAAACTCCTAGTAAAGAGAGTCTAACTGAATGAGCTAAGGCCCTGTTTAGTTTCACTTCGTTTTGCCAAAATTTTCAAAATTTCCCGTCACATCGAATCTTTAGACGCATGCATGAAGCATTAAATATAAAAAAAATAAAACTAATTACACAGTTTAGACGAAATCCACGAGACGAATCTTTTAAGCCTAATTAGACTATGATTAGACACTAATTACCAAATAACAACGAAAATGCTACCGTGCTCATTTTGCAAAAAAAATTGCATCTAAACTGGGCCTAAGAGGAACTCCACCAGATCCTCTTTCTCTTAAAATTTTGCTTGCGTACCAGGCAACGCATGGTCGCATGCATATGCATGCAACTGCGCCGGGCACGGGTGGTCTACTGACTCGATTCCGATTGACATATATGACTTGGAATGGAAGTACGATCGACGACTTCATGTCTTCATCCGTCCACACCTAGGATCGGACGTCACGGCAAGTGCAGGGAAGTTAAAAAAAAATTCTCCTCCAGTGCACGGAAGATCATAACGCACACGTCGTGGAAATAAAAGCAACATTTATTTGAAAGGGTATGTATATACTGTGGTATGGCTGACACTGACAGGGCACGCATTTATTTGAAACCTACATAGAAGAAGAAAAAAAAAATAAGCTTTGCTTTTTGAAAGACCCAGCATTATTTTCCTCTATAGTGCTTTGAAATGCATGCAGTGACCAAGATTCAAAAAGGCTCTTGTTGAAGTAAACTCGACCCGACCAGTCTAATTAATCCGATTAGTCCAAAAAAAAAAGACCTAACTAAACCAGAACATCGATGGACTCAGATCATAGTTTTCGACCGATACTCGATCTAATCTAACCCAGAAAAAAAAGCCTGACCATGCAAACATAGGAAAATCTAATCTAACGAAAAACTTATAAGCAATAGTCTGACCCAACCAGCCCAACGTGTTCACCGGGTGGGCACGGATCAAAATTTTGACCCGATGTTTTTTAGCGGCCTACGCGGTGTCACATTATACACACAGCTAATTAATAAAGCCTACGGTGCATCTATGCACTTACCCATGAATGCCCTTTGGCCTATCCAACTTATATTCAGGACTCCGGACGCTCGATCAGACTAGTGACCAGCCATGTTCTCCTCGCAAAAAAAGACGATCGGTCATGCATGCCAACCCAGCCTCAAATAATGTGTGCGCGAGTCGGAAAGCTGGACCTGAGACGCCTTTCTAACGGCTAAAGAATGATGCATGCGTACAAGTGCACCCCACGTGTTGGACCTTGAACCTGCTAAAATATGCCTCGAATCCAAAACATAATTGCAGTGCATCCCTTGCGGAGTTTCGTCAGAATGACTGAGATGTTAGTTAAGGCCGGTTTAGATGCCAAAAAATTTGACGAAATACTACTGTATCGATTTTCGTTCTTATTTGATAAATAGTGTCCAATCATAGTCTAATTAGACTTAAAAGATTCGTCTCGTGGATTTCGTCTAAACTGTATAATTAGTTTTATTTTTTATTTATATTTAATGCTTCATGTATGCGTCCAAAAATTCGATGTGACAGAGAATCTTAAAAAATTTTGCAAAATTTTTTGCAACTAAACTGGACCTAAATTAATAAACTTGCGAAAGGCGCGCGGTCTAAATTAGGTAGCACAGTAAACATGACACCTGCCAGAGTGCTCATCAGGAGAACTAGTTCCAAATCAGGAGAACAAGTCTACATGTTACTTTACAGAGTGGTCATCAGGATAACAAAAGGAGAACTACAGTCTACAGAATGGATAGAATGCATGGCGACCTAAGTTATTTAGCTTGATTTTATTTACAGATGCTGATGGATTTTGCTTGGTGATGCCGTCACCTAGGAAGCAGATGCACTTTTAACAAAAGCGATACTCTTCTTGGCATCTGTAATCTGTAAAATAACAATAAAGTATATCCTGTTAGCTTTTGCTTGACACAACTCAGGTTCTGCACAAGTGTGAATATCAATAACACTATACTCCGTACTCCATGCACAAATCAACATTGGCAACATGGAAACTCTTGAGCTCTTGGGTAAAAAGATAAACAACAGTAACTATTTCACTGTTCCTTACTAACTACTTGCTCCAAAAAATCAAGATTGCTCAATCGACCAACATAAGATTGCTAAAGAAGTCAAGCAGCAACTAGAACTAAGTACTAACAAGTAATTTTTGGGGGAATGGAGATTCATTTGAACTGAACAAAAATTCTGGGAGAAAAAAGAACACAGCAAGATGACCCATAGAAACACTAGGTGGATCTGAGTATTTATCAGAGGAAGGAACAATAGAACCTCACAGCTAGCTAGCTAGCTAGCAAGAACCTCACAGCTTGCATACAAGTCAATTAGATTTACATATTTTGTTTGTTTTTAACAGCTCAATTTCATGTGTCACTTTCTATACTTTGGTTTAGGACTGAAGGCAGTACTACTTAAGGCAGCTCAATCCTGTGCTCTGAAGGCCATATTTTTGTTGATCATTGAGAATACTATAACCATAAGAAGCTGATAGTAACATAATACTACTCAGAAGACAATAATGTTAGGATCATGAAAATGAGCATTGCAAAAGACAATAATGTTAGTAGATATACTGTATCGCTACACTCATACCTTAACCAAAGAAAACTAAAGAAATAATAAAGAAGCATTGCAGAACTATGTCACAGCTTAGGGTTGCACTGGAATGCAGTGTGCCCACTGCCCAACTGAATCATCACCACGAATATGTGTAAAGCGTCCCTGAGTTAATCATCCCAACTGGAATGCACGCACAAATACAAAAGACAAAGCTAGCTATAGTCTCTGAAAGAAAAAGAAACCCAGTGCTAAATGTATGCACAGTGAAATGTAAACTGAATGCACGCAGGATTCATCCAGCAGTTCAGACAATTTCAGCTACAAGAACATACTAGGAAAAGGTTGGTTCACAACATACCTGCTACTGCTACTGCTAGCCCTCTTCAAGTTCCAGATCTTGATCTGAAAAATGAAATTTTGTTTAGTTACCAGGAAAGAAAACAATACAGAAAGATGTCCCATAGTTTCAGATCCAAGTTTTATATCATAAACTGAAACTGAAGGATACATAGACTAGCAGTGTCACATGCATGCATCTGGACATCTGGTACAGCAGCAAGCAAACACTGTAGAAGCGACACCATCGCAAATGCTGCTACTGCTGCTGTCTGGTGATAAGTATCATAAAGCTTACTGCTGGCATTAGTACTACTGTGTATTAGAAAAATATTTAGAACAATATCATGCCACGGTCAACAATTGTTTCAGATTAACGGAAGTGTCAAAATGAAATGACAGAACTTATGAATAAAATCCATGTGCCAAAATGAAGGACACAAGAAAGCATAGCCGATGGGCAGTATGTCAGTATGATTGAAAAGTGAAAATGCTATGCTAAATCCGACTACTGTATTGGGACAAGTGTAACTCACTCACTGGTGGGCGGGTATTTTGATTAGTCTCAGCAGTAAAGCAACGAGTATGATACCATGATAGTTAACAAATGTTCTAGGCCGGAAAAAGAAAAGGCAGCTTTCTAGCAACATCACCAACACGCTTGTTTCATCAATCAGACACTACTAGTACTACTGGTTCTGAAAGCTGCTTACTGCATATTTTTTTCAATGCCCAGATGGAGCTAGCACTGTTTGTCTCTAGCCCTAGTATTTGACATAAACTTTCATTACTGATAGCTCATAGTGGCCCCGTTCGGCTGGCAAAATTTTGGCTGAAAACACTGTTCTAACTGAATTGTTGTGAGAGAAAAACACTGTTCCGGCTAAAAAAAGAAGCCGAACAAGCCGAATATGCTATTCAAGGCGGCAAAATCTAGATAGCTGAAAGTTTACCTATTGTTTCAGAGATGGTAAATGTAGACTTAGACACTAAAGATCAAGTGAAAGAAACAAAAGGTGAAGGCGGGAGAAAGAGATGGTTGAAATTGGAGTTGTCTCATGACTCTACAGCTGATCGAATTGGTATGATATATCAAGTTCAAATTGGAGAATTTTACAAAAGCTTTCTAATAGGTCCAAGAATATCAAAACCAAAGTCTAGAGAAAAAATAGACGGTCAAAATACTGAAGCATCAACAAGTGGCCAACTTATTGATATTCTCACCAGATCCACAGAGCTACACTCACATGCAAATATCAAGGTTCACAGAGCTACATTCACATGCAAATAGCCAAATATTGCAGATACGTTGCGATTTGCATAGAATAATTTGGGACGAACCATATCAAAAATTATTAATAATATATTGTGGCTAGAATGTGTTCTGTCCTTCAAGAACTAAGCATTTGTTCAAGTTGGAAGAGTCCATATGCAAAACGGCGAAAGCGACGCAAAACAAAATGCAGAAACATCAGATCAGGTAATAGCAGTTCTCATAGGCTTAGGCTCCGTCTATATTAATAGATACAGTATGGCACTTTTATTTGTCGATCGTATGGACGCTCATCAGAGTGCGTCAGAGAAGTTGGTGTTATACTGTTATACTTACCCATCTATGAAGCAAGAACATCCCTCTCGCAGTCTCGCATGATCAGAGATTCAGATCGCTTCTCATCGTCATCATCATGGAGAAACAGAGCGTAGAACCCACCGCCGACGGTGGCGGCGGCCAAGACCCATGCCGCGACCGCTAGGCCCAGTGGCATCACCTCCCCGATCTTCCAGGTGAAGGCGGCGGTGAGCGTGGTGGTGAGGAGCCACACGGCAAGCCTGGCGCGGCCGCGCGCGGGGGACCCGTGCGGCGCGACCTCGAAGCGGTGGAGCGCGCAGAGGAGCAGGGCCAGGTTCAGGTGGGAGACGACGACGAAGGCGACCGCGCCGCGGCCGTCGCCGTAGACGCAGAGAACGAGATTGAGCGCCAGGAAGACGAGGATCGCCACGGTGGTCCAACGGACGCGGCGGGTGGGGGCCGCCGGCTCCGCGGCTGCGGGTTTGGGTTTCTGGTTGGGATCGTTGGCGTAGGGGAGCTCCGCCGCATACGCCATCGCGCTGCTCGGTGGTCGATTTGCAGTGTTGAATTGGGGATTGGGTTGGGGCTTCTGCGCCGCAGTCAAGTGAAGTCCTACCGTGAGATTTCCGTGAAGTTCCTAGTCTGGCACGTTGCTCGTGTCATGCAGTCAAGTGGCAACAACCAACAGGCCCAGATCTAGACGGCACGCTCGCCGCGTGTCCTAGTCTGGCACGTTGCTCGTGTCATGCAGCGTCTGCCCATCTGCTATTGCGTTACGTTATGATGCGTGCTAGCACTGGCTACTACAAGTGATTTAACAGCATACTAATTATTTTTAAGAAAGTGTTCATGTACTTCCATTAAAAAAAGGAAAAATTGGTTGTGTAACATTGAAAGACCACGATCTCCGTAAAATACCATCAAAAGTCTGCGTCCTTATAAAATACCACTAAAAGATTGAACCGTGAACTGAAAATAGCATTCCGTTAAAATAAAGCGACAGAAGTGACGGCACTGAAAGTAGCCTCCGTCACGCCCTTACGGGTTGTTCTCGTGGACGCTCGCCGCGAACAGGAACGACTCCTGCGGCACCACCGGCACCACGTGCCGCAGCGCCCGTGCTTGCGCACATCCTTGCCGTCCCAGCTCTCGCCCCGCCCGGTCCTGCCCCGCGCCAATGCCTCTCCCCGATACCGATCTGTGTGCTTGTAACCTGTGCGGGATGGAGGAGGAGGAGGAGGAGGAGGAGGGCCCCTGCAGCGGGACGTCCTCGACCGCATCAGCAATATCAAGGCGCTCGGCAGCTACGCCCTCGTCTCACGCCGCTTCCACGCGCTCGTGCTTCTCGTTGACTCCGTCTTCGTCCGTGTCGACTGCGTCATCCCGACGACCCGCCGCCCTCCTCCTCCTCCCCTGTACCGGGCTCCCCGGCGCACTAGGCGCTAGCTGCGGGCGCGACGCGTTCGTGCACATCGCGCGCGTCCTGGTCAGCGGCATCGCCATGCGCTCGGTCAGATTCTGTCCCCCGCCGCGGCGAGCGTCTCCTGGCGCTCCGAGCCACAGCCCGCGCCCATCACGGGCGTCTCTGTCGGTGTTTTCAGACCACCGACGAGTAAATTTGTATTTGCGCGTCTGGCTCGGATGGTGTGCTCGGAGGACACAAGGGTTTATACTGGTTCGGGCGAAACGTCCCTACATCCAGTTCGCTGTTGCTCGTGTGTACCGGCACTTGGTTGGCAGTAGGGGTTACAAACAGGCCAGAGAGGAAAAGGATCCCAAGTCTCTGGGAGAAGGAGTGAAGGATGTTGAGAGCTCGATTGCAACTCAGCTGTGTGCTCGTGTTGTGCTCTTATGTTCCGATTCGTTTGTCGTTCGGTCCCCCGGTAGGGGGCCCTGCTTTCCCTTTTATAGGCGAAGGAAAAGCGCGGGTTACAGTGGAGGAAAAGGAGAAGAACGAGAGAGAGAAGGCTTCCAGGATCGCCGGGTCCTTCTTCTCCTTCATGTGGGTTCCGCCGATCCTATAGATGTCAATAGGGACGGCTCCACATCGTGGCCCTATTCGTCACTGGCGCCATGCGCGGGCGTAATCTGCCAGTCATGACGTTCCATTCCGCCCCAACGGATGTCGTGGTGAACTGACGCGCTTGTCAGCGTTCCTATGAGGGTTAGGTAGAACAGCACCGACAAGCCCGACACTGTTCTTGATGTGAATCCTCAGGTATGGCCCGTCATGGCCACGGGTTACATCGAGGCGTGCCAGTCTCTTTCCTGGTGTCAGAGTTTTGACCCAGGCCCATACGCTTGGACCTAGAGTGGTTGGCGACGGTATGGGTCCCCGTCAGACGAGACGGAAACAGCGGCCTTGGGGTCGGGCGATACGAGGCCCGTGGCCTTAGGGTCGGGCAAGACGGGGCCCGTGGCCTTGGGGTCGGGCGAGACAGAGCCCGCGGCCTTGGGGTTGGGCAAGATGGAGCCCGTGGCCTTGAGGTCAGGAGAGACAGAGCCCGCGGCCTTGGGGTCGGACGAGACCTTTTAATACGTTTTGCTCCATCTAGAGAAATCAGCATGGGCGCTAACCTCCTTGCTTTGGGTATCCCTAATATCGATACATGACAGTAGCCCCCGAGCCTGCGGAGGAGTAGAATACTCCTTTGGAGGCTTTTCCGGACGGAAGGACTCTGAGGGTCTTGGCCTTCTTTTTGTAGCCTGCGGCGTGTCCTGGTAAGACGACGGTTCTATTTGTCGCGATCGGTCTCTTGGGGGCATGTAACCGTAGGATTTGGGATGTCGGAAAGATTTTTCTTGATTCCAGTCCGCTAGGATCCGATCGGTCCGCCGTCGTACTGCGACCGCGCGTTCGGTCTCCTTGCGAGTCCAACTTTCCTTGAGCCCTCGTGCATAGCAGGGGTCCGGTGGAGGGTCGGCTCGTCTTTGTGATCGTCATCCCTGAAACGTTTTTTTCGATAAAACGGAGGGGCTGAGCCGTGCCATATTTTTCCTCGATGGACGAAAACATGGTGCTCAGTGAGCTGTTAACAGGCTAGTCCGAGTGGGGCCTCGGCTTCCCGTTCGCGGGGGTCTGGCATGGGTCAGCTGGTGACCGACTCCAGACTGTTGGCGGCCAGTCCTTATAGTTCTTGGGTCCGTTCGTCCAGTCACAAGGGCTCGTTGCCTTTCTTTAAGGAAAAACCATGGACTAGGAACCGACCAAGACTAGAACGTGGGCTGGGATGCCCACGGTGCTCGTGCGCCCGGGTACTGGCCGCTAGTGGATCCATCCCTTACCATCCCTTGCTCTAAGGGTGCCCCGGAGCGGCTGTGCACCCGTCGGTGGGCCAACCTTTGAACTCATGGTCCTAAATGGGCCGTAGGAGCATTTTCAGTTTCGTATCCCTCCCTACCTGCGACAGTTCTTGGCCCATTGAACGGGTGAACCGTCATCTGGCGTATCCTTCAAGGGCGTGGCCAGAGATAGTGTGCGCGCGATCTTCGGAGGGAGGTGACGTGACGTGGCGCAGCGGGCGCGTCAATCTAGGCGGACGGTTCGTCTTCTCGCCCCGCTCTGTTCTATAAGTAGCGGCCTCCCCCTTCATGTTTCTGCACACCAAAACCGCAGCCTTACCTTCTCCGTTTCTCCACCGCCGCCGTTCGGATCTGCTGTGCTTACTAATCCGCCGCCTGAGCCATAGATCTGTAGCTTCTGCTTCTCTGCCGCCGCCTTTGTTTCTCCGTAGCCGCCTCCATCCTTCATGGATTCGTGGTATCGCTCCGATGTTACCCAAACGCACATGGAGGGCCTCGTTTGACGAGGTCTTCTCCGCAGGAGGACCGATGCGGCGGAGTGGTTTGTGCCCGGCCGCGAGGATGCACCGGCGCCGCCCGACTGCTACGTCGTCTACTTTGCGCCCTTCCACGAGCGCGGACTCGCGGTTCCTGCCCACCCGCTTTTCCGGGGTCTGCTGCATCACTATCAGATCGAGCTGCAGCACTTAGAACCCCAACGGGATCCAACACATCGCGGCCTTCATCGCGATGTGCGAGGGGTACCTAGGGATCGAGCCCCACTTCGAGCTATGGAGATATTTCTTCTCTATCTCCTTGATCATGAAGAAGGAGAGAGGGCAGGAGACCCCGGTGCTGATGGGATGCGCCGGCATCCACCCACCTCTGGGGGCAGCGGGCAACTTGCCTTTGCATTCAAACATAATTTTAGCACTGAAATCATTACTTAGTCTGTACTACCTGTTTACCAGATCCATCTCAGTTCAATACAGCCATATTTTGCACCTGGCTACCTAATGCCAAATTATGTAACACTGCACGCTTTGAGCTTAGGAGCATTTTGGAATGCTTAATTAATGTCATTTTTTCCCTTATAAAACAAATAAAGCCATTTTGATTACATGAATCCAGGTGCTTAAAAATTATCGTCATGCCTGTAATATTGCATTCCTTTCCATCATTCAGTCGTACACTTTCTGAGATTCATCATTACCTCCTCCCTATTATTTCCTTCTAAATTAGTTTGCCTATTTTTCTGCAGAACACATTCCTTTTATACTGAAATAACCTGATTTAGTAGCTACTAATGGGTTTCGCAGATTAAAAAAGTTTATCTTATACCTCTCTAATACCACAATCCTAAATCTTTATGTACTCTATTGACACAGGGAACAAAGTAGCCATGCATTCGAACTTTTTCTACCATTGCTCGTATTGTCTTCAGGTTCTTATGCATAAAAAAATGAAACTTCCACCTTCTGGACAGGTGAAATTAATTAGGCATGTCTATCTAATTCCTGATATAATTGCTATTAAGTTTCCTAACAACAACGGTACTATTCAGAGCAAGTTACTCGGTTATATTCTCAATCCATTTTAGTCCTACTGTCTGATAAAATATGTTGGTCCTTACGTTTAGGTTTCCAACCGCCTTTATATAATCATATTTCTGTTCCTTCCATATCTGTAGTATTGCACCACTTTGTTATCATCAGGTATTAAGCCCCCTACCCACCCACCGAAACAAATATTTTCTCAGTTAGATGCTCTGTTTGTTAATCTCTTTTACGTTTACTATCAAGTTTCAAACCTCCTTTTTGATCTTTTACACAGGTACCAATTGGTTCAAGTGTAGAGACAGCAGGTTCCTGCCTTTTTGGTTCAGCACATATGCAAGATCAGCATCTTCCCACCATCAGCAGCTGTCCATCTAATCACCAAAGCTTCTTATTTTTTTTTTGGGGGGACACCAAAGCTTCTTACTTATGTAGTCCTATTCTTCCTGTATAAAATATGTTGTTATATTCACTCTGTTGATACATGATACAAAATTAAATGTTACATTTGAATCATAAATGCCTGATATATATATATATATATATATATATATATATATATATATATATATATATATATATATATATATATATATATATATATATATATATATATATATATATATATATATATATATATATATATATATGTCACCTTTGGCACTACACCTAACTCTGTTGGACAACGTTTGTACTGCTCCCCGCGCGCGGGGTTACATGCTAGTTTCTATGAAATTTCCGCGAGTCATGATAGCACCGGCCAGAAGCCAGATCCAGACGCGGCACGCGGCCCACCCGCCGCGTGTGCGAGTCGGACTCTCACACGATGCTCGTGTCCACTCTGGGTCCACGTCCATCCCATGGCCTCCGTATCAGGCCTTTGGATACGTATGAAATTAAACTAAATTTTATTCTATTTCACTTCAATATATATGGATTGAAGTGAATATATATGTATCTAAATAAGACTAATTTAGTTTATGCTAATGTTTATGTTAAAATGCTATGAAAAAAAAAATTATTTCATGACTAAAAAGTAATACGAAGCGAATAGGGCAAGTCTGATGTCCACTGACGGAGCATCGGGGGCTGCTAGTGGCTACAGTCTTCAGTAGGGAAGCGTTTGCATGGCAACCAAAACTCTCTTGACCGATCGAAGCGGAACAATATTGTTTCTTTTCACGCATCTAACAATTTTATATGTAAGTTTCTCCTCCCTCCGTCCTGTACTAATATAAAGGATGTAAGTTTGTTACACGTTAAACGATCGTAATTTTGACCACATTTATAGAAAGATGTGCATCTATGATATTAAAGAGGTAAATTAAGAAACTACTGTCTCTGTCCTAAAAGGATGTAATTATGGGTTACGTGCCAGTTAGAGTGATTCATGTTTGATCAAGTTTTTAGTAAATAATATTCACATTTATGGCTCCAAATTAATTTATTATCAAAATATATTTCATAATTAATTTAATGATATTTATTTCATATTATAAATATCTACATTTTTATCTATAATTAGTCAAATTTGATATACTAAAACATAACATTATACCAGAATTGCATTCTTTTAGGGACGGATGGAGTACATTTGACAATGTATCTAACTATATTAATTTGATATTGTAAATATTATTGTTCTTTTCAATAAACAAAGTAAAATATTGGATTGATCAACTTAGGATAATTCAAAATCCTGTACATTTCAGGATGGTGGGAATAATTTAAGAAAAAAAATGTTCTAGCAGTATAAACAGTTGTTTAATTTTGCTTTTGGTACACAGCAGCGAGCGTGCAACACTTCTTCGGCAATTTTTTTTTGTTCATGTTCCAATTTAGAACGGGCTATTTATCTCTCCCCTCAAAATCAACTACTCCCTCTATCCCAAATCATAAGACGTTTTGGCTTTTCAAATTCATAGTTTTTGCTATGCATTTATATATACAATACGTTTAAATATACGTAGTAAAAACAATGTATTAATTTTAAAAAATAAAATGTCTTTGTAATTTGGAATTGAGTGAGTACCTGATAAAAGAGAAGTTGGTGTAGCCCGACATGCATCTCCTGTAAACAAACCTTATTGCCTACGGCAAGCCTAGCGGCTGGACGTCCGGACTTTGCTCCCGTTCGCCCGCGCCTGCATTCCGCTCCCAACCCACGAGGTACGCTTGAATAAAAAAAAACCGTGATGTACGCAGCCCCCTCCGCCCAGCGCCCATCCCGCTCCGGAGGCAACGTCCGTCCGTATGGAGCTCCCTTGCTTGCGCCCGACGCACGCAGCTGATCCCTTGTCCCGCGCCCATTGCCCATCCCTTGTCCGTACGGAAATCAGGTCAAGCTCAAACTGCCATGGCGAGATAGAGGGAAGGGAAAGGGAGGGGAGGGAGAGAGGAGAGGAGAGGGCGAGGCACGCTATGCGAGGAAGGCGTGAGGTAGGAGCCAAAGCTTTGCGGTAGGCCGGTCTCCGTCAGCCACCGGCAAGGTGCAACACCGATCTATTTTTGAAACATCCAAATAAAACATATGCAACATACATCTGAAGACAGGTGAAACTCATGCATTTGAAACATGCGTGTATAGTCATTGCAACATGTGCAACACCAAGATCTACTTTTGAAACATCCAGATGAAAACATTTAAAATAAACGTCTGAAACAACTAAAACACATGAAACATAGACCTAAAACACCTGAAACATAGACCTGAAACACTTGAAACACACCGTCGCCGGCGGCCACGGCCTACCTGGTGGGGAACTGCGGTGGCTCCACGTACGGCGAAGGGAAGCTCAGGGACGAGGCTCGACGTGGCGGCTCTAGCGGCGGTGCAGATATGCACTGAGGCGTGCACTCGGTGGGGTCGGGGAGCTCGAGGGCGTCCGTGCAGCCGGATGCGAGGAGACTGGTGGCGAAGACGGCGTCGGCGGGATGGAGATGGCACCGTAAGCAGCGGCGTAAGACGGGCGGATGCAGCGCTGCGGCGCTTGAGGGCGCCGGAGAAGGCCCCGGCGAGTGGCCTTGTGCTTCCTGGGGCGAGCAGCCTCGCACTGGACAAGGAAGGGACGCTGTCTTGCGGACAGCGTGGGATGGGGGCGAGCAGCCTCTGAAACTTATTTTTATAGTCGGTGGCATTGTAGCGGTTATTCAAACCGCCTCTGAAAAGCGATTTTAACCGCCTCTAAAAATCTTTTCTATAGTAGTGACTTACGGTTGCCATGACAGTAAATTAAATATAACAGGAGACCAAGTCAAAACAAATAAGATGATACAGGATTCTTGGGAAGCATAGCATTCGTTGTTATGCTGATATGAGAGCACGGAACGGGGACCATTAGTTTTTCTTTACTCATAGAATATTTTTTATTTATCTAATTAAGTTTCCCCTTCCTCCGTCCTGAAACAATATAAAGGATTTAAGTTTATCATACATCAAACTATCCTAAATTTGATCAAACTTAAAGAGAACATATTGACACCTACTCCGTACCACATAAAAAAGGTGAATTATGGAACTACTTCATAATGTATTTAATAATGCTAATTTGATGTTCTGAATATTATTGCTCTTTCCAATAAACACGATCAAATCTAGGATAGACCTGCTCTCAAAAAAAAATTGGGATAGACCAACTTTGGATAATTCAAAATCATTTACATTTCAGGATTGATGGTGGAAATAATTTAAGAAAAACAGTTATAGCAGTACAAATAATTGTTCATTTTTCTTTTTTGTTCCAATTTAGATCGCGGCTATTTATCTATTCACATAGTATAATCAACTTCCAGAGAGGAGAAACTTCACCCTATTTCTTCTTTCTGTACTAAGCGAACCTTGACAACAGCTGGACAGCCCCATGCATCTCCTGTAAACAAACTTCAGTGCCTTCGTGCAGTCGTGCTGTAACCAACGTACCATAGTGTGAAAGGCTCAAGTCGACGGACTAAAAATGAGATGTGAGGAACCATCATTTCCCCTTTCTTGTTAGAATAAAGCAAGAGATGCGTTCAGATTGTGCTGACTGGTGTAAGAATGTTAACGCTGTTCGTTTAAGCTTATTCAGCACTACTTTTTAGCCAAGAAATAATATTTTTCTCTTACAACATTTCAGCATAAGCATCACCCTGATCCATCTATTATTCTACCCATGAAAAATCCCCTCCATGTCCACACGTTGCAGATGCAGTTGAAATGGACAGGTGAAAGCGACTGAAAGATTTAATTTGTTCCAGGTGAAACCAACAGAACCCAGAAGAAACCAGATGAAGCCGTCCACCACTTGTATTTTAATTATTTTCATTCATATGTCCTTTGACAGATGTGAGTCAGTCTGCAATTCCGCATCAGAGATAAGCAGGGTACATACATACTCTTGCTCCGAGTCCGAGTCTCAGACCCGCACAGATCTCGATCACTTGTCGCCATGGAGGAGGAACAGCATGCAGAAGCCACCAAGCACGGTGGCGGCGGCCATGACCCACGCCGCGACCGCGAAGGCCAGCGGCATGAGCGCGCCGATCTTCCAGGTGAAGGCGGCGGTGAGCGTGGCGGTGAGGAGCCACACGGCGAGCATGGCGCGGCCCCGCGCCGCGGACCCTGGCGGCGCGCGCTCGAAGCGGCGGAGGGAGAGGAATAGGAGGAGCAGGTTGAGGTGCGAGAGGCCGACGAAGGCGAGGTCATGGCCGCCGCGGCGGAGGCGGAGGCGGAGGCAGAGCGCGAGGTTGAGCCCGAGGGCGACAAGGATCCCCACGGTGGCCAAGGGCAGGCGGCAGCCGCGGGCCGGTGCCGGCGCCGCCGGATCCGGGTGGGGATCAGAGGAGGGTTTCGGCAGATCGGCGGCCATGGTTGCGGTTGCAGCCAGTGGTGCAGTGGGCGGATGCGACGAGTCACGTTGTAGCAGGAGTGAAGGACGGGCCGGGAACCGGGGTGGAAGGGTTTGGGATGGTTCCCCGACTGGTCAATAGACAATAGCCATTGACTCTAGTCATGTCTAGTCACGTGACTTCGACTTTTTTTCAATATTATAAATACTAGTATTTTTTACTCATACACTCACAACGCGCATATCCACTCATAAGAATGCACGTACATAAAGTCTACCCTTATAATCATCTTTAAAGATTGGGTCAATAAATCCTTGAGATTGACAAAGTCACCACATGCGCCTTGCTATTGACGGAACGTCGGCTACTACTGAAAACACAAGCGCTGTTAAATCCTAAAACATTCACTCCCATGAGAGTCAAACCCGGGACCTGAGGTGCTACTGAAGCTCTTGTAACCACTATGCTACATGTCCTTTCGTATAAATACTAGTATATTGTCTGTGTTAACGCACAACACTTACAATTGATTTGGTGCTAGAAGCTATAATTAGAAATTTACGCTTCTATTAATAAAGTGTGCTCCTGGAGCTTGGTACATTTGATATGGGTATACCAGAGGAAAGTATTATGGCGAGAGCAGGTATGAATCACTTTATCAAAATTTAAATTAAATTTCTTTTGCCGTGTTCTCTTTTTCTTGAGCCTGTTTTCAAGCTGGGAAAACAAGGAACTACAGTAGCAAATGCAAATAATGTGTCACGGAGAAGAATCCTAGGCAATAATAATTAATTTTTCTTACTTTTAAAATGGTATTGATGTATTGGCAAATAACTTCCATTGTGCTTTCTCTAGCGAGTCATAACACCAGGAAAACACTACAGAAAGTTCATCTGAGTCTGAATCTTCCCTAGCGTTCTCCTTCCTCTCACGAAAGTTGAGCTTCAGTATCTTTTGCAGGATATATACTCTGAAATAATCAAATTCAAGGACTGCAACTATTACCATCGAGGAAAAAACAAAGGAACTAGACATGTTGCTGGTTCAATGGATCATCAATGTATTTAAACACGCGCTAAATAAAGGCAACTCCTTTCGTCAGGTAAGTTACCTACACATAAATGTCAAATTTGTTGCAACCAACCAATAGAAAAGCGATTTCAAGATTTTCATCGGTTTACATTCACCACCCATTAAACTTGAAAAAAGTGTTAACCCCTACTTGTGGTACACTTCCATCTTGATTTTCAAGGCCTCGCTTTAGCAAGCTGAGTTGTATATCTCATGCACTTGCAGCATCAACTTCTAGTTCCTCGCCTATATCAATTGATCTCAGTGCTGCAAAATCAACCAAATATTATAAATAAAATCTGCTAACTGCAAATTGTTATGCCATAATGAACATTTATTACCAACCAACCACATGTTCCTCCAAATTGCGACTAAATATATAGCTAACAAAGCAACAGTAACCTATGATCTCAGCCCCACCCGTTCACAACTTGCCCAAATCATTCAGAGAAGATTGACTTAGACCTCTAGAGAAACACCTATTTTGTGTGTATCCCACATATTATCCATAAATTCCGTGTCATTACATTCAACTATCAAGGATAGAAATGTGCAACATTAAACATAGGCACATGGTATACATCTATGTGTAGTGTCACAACTTTAGTGTGTTTTTAGCGTAAAATTTTTGACACCCTGCCGTAGGTCTAATAGGTGAATAAATTCCTAGGTATGAGTAGCTATTGTCAAGGATAGTATATAGCCAAAATAAAAGTTATAGTTAGGCGTAACATAGGTATACATCTTACTTCCATAAATCCACTGAACTCATGTAGTATCATGATACTATCCATATTTTCATGTCCTAGTGAAAATTTACATGTTCCAAACTTTGACAAATCATAAACCAAGCAAAGTCGTACCTCGAGTGCAGAAGCTCACATAGGGAACAACAATGTTGACACCATATCCAACACAAGGATCATTGAATACCTTCTTTGCTTGGCCGGATTTTAGATCAAAACTAAATATGCCATCATCTGTCCCCACAAAAAAGATTCCAGCGCCATGCGCAAATGCAATATAATTAGAATAGATGGAGCGACCGTTGACAGGGAGCACCTTCTCAAGCTCAATAACTTTAATTTGTGCCCATTCCAAGTCTCTGTTGGGATTCAACTCTGATGACCAGAGGGTGAGTTTTGCAGCTTCATCCAATCTTGCGACTCCCAACTCACCATTCTCCATTTCCATGAGGGCAGTAGAACACTCAACGAGCTTAAGAGGTAGATGAATCACATATGTTTCCCTTGTTTCCATATCATAACTAAGAATTCGACTACCATCATCAGTCGAAAAGTGGAGTGTATTCCCCACAAGTGCAGGGGATGTTGCATCAACATCGCACTCAGGTACAAGAGTTGGATCGCTCCAGGAGCCAACCTCTGATGAGTAGATGTGCAAGGAGGACATATGCTCGGGCTCAATGCCGAGGCCCAAGGAGATCACCTTGAATGGTTTGTCATGACAGTCTAGGTGGTTGCAAGAGCCACTAGTTGTGGCCCCGCAAAGCACAGTTGCATACCAAGCAAGTTGTTCGCCGATGTCCAGTTGTGGTAGATCCCACTGCTTGTCTATGGTTGGGTCCCAGACGGTGAGGACGGTATCTTCATCCTCCATAACATTCCTTTCGAGGAGGATGCGGCCGTGGCGGGCATCAAGCACGATGCAACTACGGAGGGTGGCTTGGGGAAGGTGGAAAGAAGAGGTTGGAAAGAATTGGGCACTTTCAATGTTGCAAAAGAAGCCAAGCATTGGTGGCTTACAGTGAAATTTTTGGAATTCGCGGCGGAATCGGGAGCTGCAGATAAAGCGGCCCCAGGACTTGCAGACGAGGGCGGCATCGACGAGACTTGCAGGATCCGTTGGAGGGAGGCGGAGGATGGACTCCTCGATCAGCTCATCAATCATAGCAGGCGTCGCCGCCATGGTGATGGGCAGGATACGGACTCTGGCGGGCGACGAGGATCTAGGGTTGGGTCAGGGGAGAAGACATGAATCGAGATTTTGGGGACTAGGAGAGATGAATGACAGTGGGGTGTGTGTGTGGGGGGGGGAGGGGGATATTTAATTATTTTCTATCTTTTTCATTGACACTTGCTAGTTTTACTATAGCTCTCATAAATTTACCATCGTAGGAAGAAAGTACCATAACTTTATACCTTTTTGTCCAAATGGCTTTCACCTTTTATGACTTTTCGCTTGGCTGATAAGTCATGGCTGAAAGTACGATTGACTGATTTGTTGTGAGAGAAAAATACTGTTCGTTGGCTGAAAAAGTACGGTTTATAAGACAAGCGAATAGGGCGTATAGCACCACTAGAAGTTAGCATCGCCTGCTGCAGTGTGCTAAGTAATGCTCAAACATTCTCTTTCATCTTTTTTTATCACTCAAGGAACACGTTGTGAAAGGCCTAATGGGGTTGGGAGAAGTGGGTGAAGAATGCCATGACCCATGGAGCTTTGGGGCAAAATAGTTCCTCTGCTCACCGTTCCGCCCCCACGGCCATAGGACATTCGACGATATGCCTGACCACAGGACAAATGGCCTTGGGTTCTCGCCTTTCTTTTTTTTCTCGAATACGCAAGAGCATTGCGTATCATTATATTAAGAAGGTAGAAGTTTGAAATATAATAGAGACCATTCCTGGCCCGACGGTTACCTCAAAGGGACTACATTTTGACTAAGACAACCTTGGGATCCATTGGGATTAACCTAGACTACGATCTAGCTAAAGTATCAGACCACACTGCTTCACCAGCCATCCCCTGGATGCTAGGAACAGCACATAAAGCGCCTCGACGTTTGCTTCCAATAGGGTGCCTTAGAAGTACGAATCGTACGAACGCTTGGCTGCAGAGGAAATCGGTGCTGAAGGTGCCAGTATCCCCATCTTCTTCATGAGCAGCACTTCGCCACGTTTGGACGTCGGGATGTCGTCCATCTGCTGAGCAGCAATCCGTCTGCTCCTAATGGGCAGAGTAGTCCGCTTTGGTGCTGGCTTCTGTTTAGGCGGGGAGCTGATGAGAGATGGCTGTCTCATTACCTGGACCTCCTCAATGAACCTGGACAGTCGCTTGACGGCCTCCCTCGGTGTGGGCGTGCCCTCAGCGGTCAGCTCGTCGATTGCCTGAACGACGCCCATTGCCGTGCCATTGGCCGCCTCAGCTTGCGGTCCGGCATCCATGCACTGGGCTGAAAGCACAACCATGGTGTGTGCCTTCGATGGTGAGGACGGTGGGACCTCCGTCCCCTCTTGGTCGCCAGATGCGTCGGCATGATCAGCCTGTCCCGGCGCGGTTGGTGCTGCATCACTGGTCGCCTCATGCCTCAGGGACGGACGACCGTCCTTGCCGTTGCCTGGGACGCCGGAGGGAGGGGTTGTTGCGCCACGGGGACCGTTGAGCAACCCTGCCTCCAGAACCATCTGATCTGAGGCCGGCTGCCCTCCAGCGATCGCCTCGCCAAGGGAGGTTGGGTCTTGCTCAAATCTAGGTGGTACCCAGCAGTCTGCGAACATAGGTGGCGATGTTCCAGGCTGCTCCGTTGCGCCACGATGACCGCTAAGCAGCCCTGCCTCAAGGACCATCGGATCCGAGGCAGGCTGTCTTCCCACGATCAACTCGAATGGAGAGGATGGATCTTGTTCAAAATGGAGCGGGGCCCAACAGTCGGTGATTTCAGACTGTTTCGCCGGCTCAGCATCTTGGACAACCATCGCGGTGCTCACCTCCGTCTTGCCGGCGTCGCCGTGACTGCGTCCCCAGGCACCATGGGTGCGCGGCCCAGACCCCTGTGGGAATGATGCCGATTTGGGATGGCCTCATGGCTGGAACGATGGCGTTCTCCAGCGTCGGGGCCAACCCGGTTGTGGCCCGACGAGCGCAGTCGCTTGCAGTCTCTGGCAATGTGTTGAAACCCTAGGCATCGCAGGGGCAAGCAGCACAC